TAATGTTTCAGTTGCTTAAAGTGTTCCTACCAATTTGTAAGAAAAGATAAACGGCTCAAAAGAATCTTGGACAAAGCTAATGAATTAGTAATCAATGAAAAAGAAATACAAAAGGCAATCAGTATAGGAACATGTGTTCATACATACAAGAAGGCTGGCAAATGCAAATCTAAACCACACAATATCATTTTTAACTCATCAGAGTGGCAAAAATGGCTCATATTCAGCTCTGGTAACCATGCTGAAAAACATACTCTGTCTTACCTGCTGAATGGAGTGTGAATTGCTATTATTTTAGAAAGTAAGTTAGTAAAATCTACAAAGGTAAAAATACACTAAGAAAAACAGAAGCTCAAACAGAGGGAAATTTTTAGAATCAAAAAGAAAAGAGAGGTAGAAAGGATTCAAGAGAAATTAATATCAAAGGTAGTCAAGGGAAATTGAATCTATAGATAATAGAAGTCCCAGAAGAAGAAAATCAAAGAAAAGGAACAGAACAAATAATAAAAGCAATCATTTATTTTTAAAAATAACTTTCCTGGAATTAAAAGATGATTTGAAACCATATATTGGAATACAAAAAGAATATACCATGTACCTGAGAAATTGACCTAACAATCAACACTGGAACATAGTGTAGTAGGACTGAAGGACTTTAAAGAATTTTTTTTAAAAAAACAACTTTAGATGTCTAGTCAAGAAGTGTAAGTGACTTTAAAAAGAATAAAAATTAAATTATCAGCAGACTCCAACAACAATAGTTTATGCCAGAAGGAAAGGGAGTAACATTTTAATATACAATACTGAAGAAAAAAATTGTGAACCAGAGACTTTTATATCCAGAAAATCTGGCTTTCAGATATAAAAGGATGAACACTTATTGTTTCCATGAGCTGATCCTGAGGAATTTACTTAACAATGAGCTGTAGACAACCAAAATGACCGGACATAACAACTATTAGCAAACCATAAATATATAGTTATTTGTAGAACTAAGACTAAATGAGGGTTCAGAGACAAGAAACCATATAGGCTTTTATGCTATGACAATGTAAATATAGCACGACTATTTTACACTGAGAGAAGATGCAATATAAAATTGTTAACTATTTTCAATTATTCTATATAGTATTAGTATTGTTATTCTGAGGTTGTTGTGGAATGAGGCAAATGAACAATTGTACAATATTCCAATTTCATCATCTCCTGTGTCCTTGAGAACCAAGATCTTTAGTATGGAATAGAGATATAATTATAATGTAGAAGAGGTTACATAAAAGCCTTGTAAGTCTGCATTTGAATTGGATCTATTCATATGTTACTTCTGCCCACTGAAAAGGCCTAGGAACAATGATTAATTCAGTAGCGATGACAATAAATCTCCCTAGTACCTAGACTGTGTTCTTATAATACCACTTCCTCCTAAAAGAAGAAAGGAAGGAGCTTATTATGGAAAACAGTGTGGAAGTTTCTTAAACAATGACAGGTAGAACTGAAGTACAATCCAACAATCTCACTGCTGGGTGTATACCCAAAGGAATGGAAATCATCATGTCAAAGGGACACCTGCACTCCCATGTTTATTGCAGCTCTATTTACAATATACAAGAGTTGGAACCAACCTAAATATCCATTGGTGGATGACTGGATAAGGAAAATGTAGTATGTATACACAATGAAATACTACTCAGCCGTAAAAAAGAATGAAATTCTGCCATTCACAGCAACATGGATGAACTTAGAGAAAATTATGTTAAGTGAAATAAGCCAGGCACAGAAAGAGAAATACCTCATGTCCTCACTCATAAGTGGGAGCTAAAAGAAAGAAAGAAAGATACAGCAATCACAATAATTTGTTGAACTTTCAAAAGGAGAGAACAGAACTGAGGCCACTAGACATGGGAAAGGGGGAGGGGGAGTTAGCAAGAAATTGGTAAAGAGCCACAAAAAATGGTTACCTTGTTTAATGTTGAATATACTAATTATGCTGATTTGAACGTCACATATCGTACATAGGTATTGATATTAGACACTGTACCCCACAGACATGTACAATCAACTAGGTTTCAGTAAAAAAAAAAAAAGAAGAAGAAGAAGAAGAAGAAAGGGATTTTGAGAAACATACTAGTTCCAGGGCTGAGTGAGGAAGGTATAAGATAAGTTTGAAATATCTTGTCATACCAGCTGTCAAGGAAGCTGTCAAAGCTGCTAGTTTCATGTCAAAAGGACTCAGGAGCCAACCTCAGAGGCTCCCACTGGCCAAAGATGGGACAAATTTGAGTTCACTAAGAATAACAAAGTGGATTAAAAACCATCAAATATGTTTAAACCTATGAGTTCATTTTGATATTTTTAAAAATTAATTGATCACCTTTGGAAGATAAAAGGAAACAAATGTATTATCTCAAAAATTATAAGTAAAAGGGGGAGCGGAGATCAGGCATTTATTCTGCCATTCCCATAAGAACTAAACCATTAAGTAACCGAGTAATATGAGAGGATATTCCAACTAGTAATTGTAAAGTAATGTTAGAATTAGAACATTGCCATTTTGCAATCCCCAATGGATTAACAGACCTAGGCACTGAGCATAAATGACTTCTAACAGCATAAAAAGAGAGATAACTCAGACATAATGTGCCTCCTGATAAAAGAAAAAAGCCACATGACTTCTAGTCTTGCCAAAAGGATTGAACCTGAGTCTGATCAAGTCTGTGAATCCAGCTTACAATTTTCAGAAAATACAGAAGAGAGAGGAACATGCTAAACTCCATCATAAGTGTGAAATCAGCAAAATACGGATTGCAGCAAGCTCTATGGGTCAAAAGACTCTGATTCAGCCTGGCCGGTTAGCTCACTTAGGAAAGCATTGTGCTAGTAACACCAGTGTCAAGGGTTCAGAATCCTGGACTGGCCAGCCACCAAAAAAAAAAAAAAAGACCCAGATTCTTCAATAGATAAATTGTAATAAAAAGAAGTGTATATTAAAGGTGAATTAAAAGATGTATCAGATTTTGAAAATGGGTAAGACTAAACTGTCGGGTCCAAGATCTACACTTGGGTAAAAAAAAACAGAGAAATGAAAGAAGAGATTGCACTAAAACTCAGGTTATTAGTTACCTACTGTTTAAGGGAGGGTGGAGATTGTGATTCAGATGGGGCATGGAGAAGGCTTCTGGGGTACCTGGAAAAGTTGTGTTTTGGACCTGGGTAGTGGTTCCAAGGGTGTTTGCCTTATGATTCATTAACTTATAAAGCTATTTTGTAAGGTTTTCTGTATCTGTGTATAATAAAAGGTTAAAAGAGAATGAAGAAGAATCCTATTACAAATATAAATTTAAGCTAGAGGGTTAAGTAAAAAACAAATGAACAAGTTGCAAACTTATATTTACTCTGTAATTGAAGTTTTATCAAAAATAGGGGAAGGGGCATATTTACTTTCTAGAAAGATAGCCATCAAAGTTTAATGGTGCTACCTTGACAGGGATACATGTTTTACTGTTTCTTAGCGATGTTTTGTATGTCGATGAAAAGGGAAAACTGAATAAATTATGTGTCCATATATGCACATTTACGTATACATACATACATATATACTTTGCTTTTTACTTGGAAATCATTTCAAACTTACAAAAGAGTCTCGTGTATATACAAAGACTCCTGTCTATCCTTGACTCAGACTCAGGTTCATTGATTGTTAAGATTTTGGCTCACTTGTTCACTCTTTCTCTCTCTTTTGCTCCATTTGACAGTTAGTTGCAGATATCACATGCCTTTACCTCTAAATGTATGTCTGTGTATTTCCTAAAAAAACAAGTAGATATAATTTTTTAATATGGACACATACAGTTGTTAGCCTTGAAAATGTGCAGGGATTTTAAATAGCAAATTTGATAAAGGATGCGCAAATACTATTTTAAACTGTAAGGAATTCTTATTAAGAAATGCATGTCTCTTTCTACTTATATGCCTTCAGGTAATTAGTCACTTTTATCTGAAGTTTAAAGTAATTAGCTATTACTGGAGCACAGCTTCAGATAACATAAAATGAAGAGACAGTCCAACATTGTAATAGTTTCTGGTAAGCGTTCTAAACTTAACTGTAGTTTAATCTGTTAAATTTCTAATTACTCATGAATTTGGTATTAGGAAAAATAGAGATTAGAAGTCCTGAAAGGTAACAGAAAATTGAAAAAGCTTCCAAATCTCTAGCAAGTCAGCTACAAAGTGAGAAATTGATTGGAGCATCTAGTCAGGCTATTTTTTTCTTAAGTGTTGCTAAACCCATGGTGAGTTATACACAAAGGAATATAAATCAATAAAAGTTGATTTCTCAAAAAAAAAAGAGGGCCTCATTTCAAAGATTTTTAAACACATTTATAAACAATTTGTGGACCATATCAGCTTTTTATAAAGAAGGGGAAGACCTGTAAATAGTTTGAAAATCTTCAAAGTGCTTTTCAAGATTTTGACATACCTGATTTTAGTCTATTTTTGTGCAGAATGTGGGTATCTTGCCAGAAAATATAGGGCATGTTTCCATACTTTGCACTAAGTTAAGCTTCAGTCAGCACTGAAATTATTTGACAAACTAGTCACTTCAAAAGTCACAATAAAAATACCAGTTTCTAAAGTGTTTGTGCTAAAGGCAGTTACACTGAAATACATGAATTTTGTCCAGGGACGAATAACATCGTCCTCCAAGTTCACGTTTGTAAATAAGAATGATCACCTCAGCATGCACTGGAATGAGACTTCTCAGCTCCACATTTCCTTGCATCCTGAAAAGAAAGCTCTTTTTCTCTAAAATATAATGGATTGTTTGGAATGATAAGCTAGATGCCATTTAGTTGCAGTCTATAACATAGAGGACATAAAATGCATTAGAAATTAATGTAATCGGACGCTGCTTTGTCCTCGGGGGATTGAAGTTTGGAGACGCCTAAGGGAGAGGTGAAGCATCTCACTGCCAGTGTCACAGCGCCCGTGTCTGCCCGCAGGTGAGCGAGATGGAGGTGAACGGGCAGTTCGAGTCCGTGTGCGAGTCGGTGTTCAGCGAGCTGGAGTCGCAGGCGGTGGAGGCGCTGGACCTGCCCGTGCCCGGCTGCTTCCGCATGCGGAGCCACAGCTACGTGCGGGCCATCGAGAAGGGCTGCTCCCAGGACGACGAGTGCGTGTCCCTGAGGTCGTCCTCCCCGCCACGCACCACCACCACCGTGAGGACCATCCAGAGCAGCACGGGTGAGTGACCCGGCCGTGCCCCCTGCCGGGGCTCTGTGCTGGTTAGGGTACAACTGTCCCGAAAGTCGTACCCTTGGTGTTATCACACACACACACACACACACACACACACACACACACACACACACACACGGTTGCCGGTAACAACATACCACCCATGTCCTGCAAAGCAAAGGCCTGAATTTCCTACCTGCCTCTATCCCCGCCTCGGGCCACAGCTACACACCCCTGCCCTCCCATCCCCATCTCAGGTATCTACAGGGGAAACTGCAACTATAGCACCATGAGGGAGGGACAGCCCAGCGGGAGGTCTTTCTAGACTCCCCGCACAGCATCCCAGGAGCCAGCAAACTGATCCCAGCAGCCTCCAGCTCTCCATAATTAGGCTCAGACTTGGAGGGCTGTGACTCTAAATGAACCTACACCAGCTTACTGTGCATCACAAAATTGGAATTTTTTTTAATTCCAAGATAGACACAGAGTGACTATCCCAAAAGACCTGATATATCACTAGAAGAAAATAAGAAGGAAGAAATGGATGACCCAGTGATATTGACTGAATATTTTAGTTTTCTTTTTTTATAACAGAAAACAGATTGATTTCATTGTTTTAAAACCTTCTGACTATTGTGTATAAATAGCACCTCCTTTTCCCTCTAAACCATGTCTAGGTTTATGTGATTAAACTGTATTTTTATCAGTAGATTTTAGGCACAGAACAGCTTAACTAGTTTCCATGACACTGGAACTTGCATAGTAATATATAGCCTTGGGCTATGTATGACAATGTGTGCATATATATAATATTTGAGTTCCAAGAAGAAAATCTTCATCGTAACTAGGCTTAACTTTATGACTGAATTCAGCACAATTCCAATACAGAGTAGTTCTATAAGAAGATCATCAAACCTAGAAATAAGATTAAATAATGATGAATAAATTAGAAAGAAAAGTCTGTGCCATAATACTGGATTATTCAATTTTAGTTCTAGGTGCATCACATGTCAATAATTATCATGCTGCCTAGAACTTTGCAGGCTTGAGAGTTAATAAGTCCTCAAACCTGAGTTAAAATCTTCCTAACTAGAAATATGGGATTGAGATAGGAATTTTTCTGAAAAACCATGATAGGTTAAATAAAAGAAGTTCATTCTTGACCACTGCAAACTTAAGATCTCAGGATTAGAAAAAGAGATGTTTCTAGACATCTCAGTGGCTCAGCAGGGGTTTCCAGGGTTATGACCCTGACTGCCATCTCTAGACCAGAGATAGTAGATGGACATATGTTCTTGCTTTCTAGGAAACAAGAACAGCCACAGAGGAGATTAATAGATTAAACAAGATCGATTTGTGAAGAGAAAAATATATAATTTAAAATAAATCAACCATGGTCATATTTACATGTGTGTTTACATTCATAAAGTGTAGTTTCGAAGGTCTGCCCTGTGCCTTTAGCACATCACTGTCTTGTGGTGGTTCCCATTTTCACCACCCCCATGCCACACACAACCCTTGCCGTGTCTTGTCCATTCCTCTCTATAACGAGCTCATGGCCTGCCAGCTGAAATCGCTCCTTAGATACACAAAATGCAGATCCTCGTGTAGACGTGCCAAGGTGGGCACTCAGGAGAACAGTCAGGAAGGAAAGGGCTGCTGGCTCACTCCTTCCCCTTCAGGGAGCAGTGTTGTGGGTAAAGTGGAGACACACGCAGAATGGCTTTTCTCTGCTCATTTTGTGTTTTTGTTATTGAGACAATTTCCTTATCTTTCTGCCCCAGTTCTTATCCCATGCTCTTCACTCCAAACACCCATAGATCTGACCTTCCTAAGACCCTTCCAGAGACTGTGGAGACTCCCAGACTTCAAAAAGTAGGGTTCCCAAAGAAAATAGGGTCACCCAGTTGAATGTGAATTTCAGGCAAATAGAAAATAATTTTGTAGTATATCCCAACTATTGCATGGGAAATACTTGTACTACATAACTGTCTGTAGTGTTGGCAATGTTTGCTAAAAATCCAACAAGCCTATCAGAGAAAGAGATGTGCAGGGCCTGGGAGTGTGTCCTGTGTTGTTCTGTTACAGGGCGCCATATCCAGGTTCTTGATCCATGAAAAATTCTTCTTTCATGGACCGGCAAAGTGAGAGGCAGAGAGAGGTAGAGAAATGGAACATCACGGGGCTTTACCCCAAAGCCAAGGTACACACGAAGGTGCGTGCGCGTCTCCGCCAGAGCAGCGCCCCCGACCTTCTCCGTCCTCTCTGTCCCACGTGCAAACTACCAATGGCCGAGCTCTGCGCCCTGTCCAACCTAGTACGCCGGCTCTGGCCGATCCAGACTGAACACTTATGAGCAGCCTCCCTGGGGCGCGCCCCTACTCTGTCCTGCCTCGGTTCCGTTTAGAATCTAAGCTGAATCTGAGCGACTCTAGCTGCGTGGGAGAACACACACACCACGGACAAGCCAGGGAAAACTGCACAAGGTGCTTGCGTCCGCTGCTTCTTGGGCTCCATGACTCTTGTCCTGAGTACTGGGCCACCTGCCGCTGTCTGGGAGGGAAGGCTCCAGGCGTGGCTGCCCCGGTGAGGATTTAGGAAGAGGAAGATGTGACTTGCCCTTGGGGGTGGCAAGGCATAAAATGCCAGGGTTTTTGCACAGGGCAGCTGTTGACTTCACCCTTAATTGCCAAAATAACATTATGATAAATGATCTTTACAGTCCTGTAAAGATTAAAAATTATATAAAAAAAAAAGGTAAGTTTGAGCACTAAACCATTATAGTAGATTTTTAGTAAACCCATCAGATATTTAAGCGTGCAGCTTTAAGAGGTCCGGTTTCAACTTTCACAGTTTCTCTATGCCATATATATGTTCCTTTTTTAAAAAGCATTATTTTATGATACAGTAAGGTTCTATATCCTTTATTCCGCCCCGCCTTATTACTCCTGTAAGATCACTCGCCCTCTCCCCTTCTCTCACACACACACAGTTTCTCTTTCCTTTTCTCCCTCAGATAATCTCAGTTTTATATTATACTGGTTTCCTTCTTACGTTGAATGGAATACAGTTTCCTGTAGAAAATTGAGAAAAGTGATTTTCTCACAGGACCTACTCAGTTTTGAAAGAATGCATTCATCTATGGAAATCAGAAAATGACTTGGCTCTAATTTTAACAATTTCCCTGTGTACACAGGTCAAATGCATATCTGGTGCAGTAGGAATTGCTGTAGATTTCTCCTTTCGCTTCTCTCCCTTTGCTCATTATTCTTGGATACTCACAACAGATTCCATTTCTCCTAAACTTCCCTTTGTCCTGAAAAAATTTTTCATTTTTGTCAACTGCAGTTATTATGTATATAATTCTTTCCCACAACAAACCTCATTCTGGCCGGCCCGGTGGCGCACTGCTACAGTGCACCGCTTGGGAGCGCGGCGGCGCTCCCGCCGAGGGTTCGGATCCCACATACAGACCGGCCGCTCACTGGCTGAGCGAGGTGCGGGAGCAACACCGAGGGTTGCGATCCCGTTGCCGGTCCTGGTCCGGTACGGGCGTGACACTGAGGGTTGCGATCCGTTGCCGGACACAAAAAAAGTCAAAAAGGAAAAAAAAAAAAAAAAAACCCATTCTTAGTCCTTCGTTTTTGTCAGCGCATTTTAATTGTTCAGATTTTCAACAAAATATACTATTTAAGCCTTTCTCTTCCAGCGCTGTCCTTTATTCATATTAGCAAAATGAAATCAAGGACAAAAGTCCACAGAAGAGTCTAATGCCACATGAGAGAGTCATGAAGGTGGGCTCAGCTCTAAATGACTGCAGGGATCTGTAGCTATTAGCAGGTGATCAAAGATGAACTGAGACATTTCAGCCAATCAGGGCAAATCAGGAACCAAGTTAAAGAGTGACATATGCTTCCTTTGATTTATTGACTTTTTGGCTTATCTAATTATGACAGAATCGTACAATTCTCTCAGCCTGAAATCTATACTGAGAGCAATTCAAGCACCCAGATCTCTCTCCATGCAATGGATTCAACAAGTTTTTATATAAACTATCGTACCTGGGACTATTAGGTTAAGATTAGAGCTACTGTAGGAAATTTAAATGAAAAAATGGGGTGATTATCCTCGCTTTTGTGGGAAAATAAGCACCCTTGCCTCCGTTGTCTGAATATTTTAGGTGAAACTAGAATTAGGCACCTGAAATATACCCAGACCTTCACTTCAGAGTATTGAATTAAACCTGCCTCTTATGGAATGTACCAATGCAATTACATGCATTTAAGAGTGTGTTTTCTTTTTGTTTCCTGTGCTGAACATTTTCTAGGACCTATGACAGGCATTTTACCACATTGTAGCGGGGCAGACTTGTATCTAGTGTTACCAGTAGCCTGAATAGGCAAAAAGCATCGTATAATAATCGTAAGTGGACTCACACCCAGAAGGGTACAGACACACATTTGTATGGGGAAAAAACCCAGAAAGGACACAAAATAAATCCTTTGCACTGGTTACCTAGCAAGTTGTAGGTGTGGAGAGTCAGATGGAATGGAGAGAGGGAAATTTTTAAGATAAGCATTTATTGTTTTTTATTATTTTAAAGCCAGCGTAATACTTGAACAAAAATAATACTCTTCGACAGAAACAGGCAGACTATCATCATATACGATTCTCTGGTCTTTTAAGAAAATTCTTCACCTTGAAATTGCAAGATTTTCAAAGAAGCTTTATGTAGGAATAATATAATTTTTATGAAGAGTTACTAGGTTCATTTGCCACACTATTGCTCTTGATGTTTGGACTATATGCTACAGTGTTTTCCTATTAGGAGTTATACTGGTCGCCTGTCCTTCACTTAGCCCTCCAGGAAGGGGAGTAAGGGCCCAAGGTACAGCATCCCTCCTGGGACAGCAGCCAGTGTTTTGCAGCCAGGGAGTCAACACAGTTTGCACTCGTGGGTATGACTTGAGACCACAGTTAACAGCATATTTGCAGTTTGATTTTGC